CACACTGCCTCAAGATACATTTATTTTGACGTTTTTCCGTGACAGAGAAGAGAAAGAGAGTGCTGCTTGAACACACTCGGCGCTTCTTCTCTTCTTATGTATGTGATGATAAAGGCAGGACATCTTTCTTTTAGAAGACAACTTCCCTCTCATACAGGAGGGACACATCTTTATTTGTTTAGTGGGGGGTTGTTTACTTTTCAAGACAAGTGCCATCACAGACAGTTGTCAAAGGAAAACATTATTCAAACTTCCCTGTAGACTTTGGCTCAGGTTGTACAATACTGCCATTATAGATATGCCATTTTCACATAATCCTTCAGCAGTGCAGGGCATGTCGGGGCACCGTAACTCCACAGCATAGGGGAAAGACAAACTTGTAAATATAGAGCGCTAAAGAACTACCTGGGGGCATATTTAAAAGCACTATCTCTTGCATTGACTTTCAGTTTGGTTATGTGTTAAAAGAGGACACAATTACTAACTGACAAAACAAACTGACAGTGAGCAGTGAGTGCCTCTTGTTTTGCGTGCCGTTCCCATATCCAGGGGAGTTTTCAAGGAATACTGTATAAGCAGCAGATCTTTGAAAGTTGGGTTGGCTGAAAAAATAATGATGTCAGACTTCCAGTTATGGTCAGTGAACCGACTCTGTAATACATACTGTGTATCAGTAGCGTCTGAGGTTACAGTCTATGTTTCCAAAAAACATCTATGAGTGATTCATGAAATAGTTACAGCTGAGTTTTTCCCACCAAGAAGCAAAGGATGAAATGCAGCATGTGTCAGTCCCTTTGGTTTGTGACCCCTTAAAATAGAGCTCAAGTGATTAATCAATAACTGAGTCAACACAAAATCAATCAATTAATAATTGTGCTAATTGATTGACTTTTCTGTCATTTTAAGCACAAATGCCATTTTCCCCTAGTCCTGGCTTCTCAACTGTTAGGATTGTCGTGTGTGACAGCAAACTGCCGACGAAAACACTGTAAACATTATGAAAACCACTGCATCTCTCTGTGACACCCTCTGTTTGTTTGTGTCCCACAAGCACACGAGTGTCCGAGCTGTGTGCCACTCTCTCTCCCGACTGTGAAGGGGCATCTCTAACTATACATTGTTTTTAATTTTGTCGTCCCTTTTAAGGAGTTTGACGTTTTGGGAAATGATTTGCTTATTTGCTTACTCGCCGAGAGTTGAGATGAGAAGACGGAACAGGAACAGGGGGAGCAGAGAATGCAGGAAGTATTGTGGCTCTGGCCAAGAAATAGTGTGGGACATAACTGGCCATAACCAGTTTTTGTATGGATTAAGTAAACAAGACACAATGAGCTTTGGAGGTGCTGTAAGTGGATTTTACCTTTACACAGACAGGCTAGCTGCTCCCCTCCGTTTCCAGTCTTTAGCTAAGTTACTGCTTTCATTGCCACAAGACACGTGAGTGATATTGATCTTCTAATCTTACTCCTTCAGGAAATGAATAAGCTTATGTCTCAAAATGTCTTACTATTCCTTTAATCACCTGCTGACCCCCCTAATTCATCTTGGGTCCTTTTGGAGGGCCCATCCCACAGGTTGGGATTCGCTGCTCTAGTAGTCCATAATGATATGCTCTATGCGTATTGTGAAATGGGGTTGATTATAAGGTTGTACGTGTTCTATTGTTACTACTGATCTTTCAGACTTTGGACTCCACAGCTGATAAGTCAGTTTCCAAGGCAAAGACATAACAAAACACTTGCAACATGAGATCTCCTAATGGGAAGTAAATATAGCAACAGTGCCAAATGTTTACCCTGATCTGCACTTTCACCCCGTGACACTACAAATAAATGATCCAATGTGAAGGCTCCGATGAGGCTGTATGACCTACTGTCACGTACTACACTTGGCTGTCTCAGCACACTATCTGTCCGCGATGTGTGGGCTGGAGACTCTGTCAAATTACAACATTGTCTCAAGGTCAGCTAGGTTGAACACTCAGCTATATGCTCTTTAAACCAATATTGTTCTACACAGGAGGATGGAAATTTCTCTACAGTTGAGGAATACCCTGCTGTAAAGCACGGACCACACACTGAGCTCCTGCTATATTTCAACACGTGTAACAGCTATTTCAGGTTTCAGTGGGAGGAAGTCCCTCCGATTCTGCGGCTTCACCTATAGTGAAATACCTTTTCTAAAGTTACTGTCTCAAAGTGACTCATCAGCTATTTGTACTTCACAACTGAGGGTGAGCGACTTCATACACAGGCAATTATAGGGGCACTCAGCATGCCTGAGAGGGGAACGACCTGTCTTGACGTCACGCAGAGATCAGAGTCCTGATGCCACACGAGAGGATTTCCCTCTGTTGCTAGGCACCGGGGTTCCGTGTGTGGACAAACATGGGGTTCCTCGTGGCACACCTGTGTTTGAAGTCGACACTGCCACACTGTCAGACCTCTCTACCTATTGCTTCATCACACTGTTGAGTAACCATAGTTATTTTCCATTGACACAAACTACAGTGAGGCATCTGTTATAAAAATCTGTTACAATAGTTTGCACAGCAAACGTTCACACGGCAACCAAATAACTCCCTGAGGGGAAAGGTGAAGCTTTTATTTGATTCGCCTTTTAACCTAGTTTTGGCATGAGAAGGTTCCTTACATTCAGTACCACATCAAAACTAAAACAATGCAGTTATGTAACCCTGTGGTTAATACAAAAATGATTGGGTTACATATTATATTTCCTTGAAGTTGTTGTGACACTTTTACAGACACAAACGTTAACTAATTATGCTTTAAACCATAATCCAAAGTATGAATTCCAGAGATAATGAAGTGAATTAAAGCTAATGCTGTCATTTTAAATACCATAAAATGAGAAAATACTGGTTAAAAAATAAAGATGAGTTTATTAGTTTTTAAAAGGTACATTACAGTTCATTTATATTTATTCCTTATTCCTATTTTGGGGTATTTTCAATTGGTTCACAATCACAATGCTTGAGTTTTTAATTAAAATGTTAAAATATACAATAGTTCATCAGTGGCTGAAATAGCATTTAGCTGAAGGAGCATTTACTTAAATACTTCCAAGTACAATTTTGAGGAAGTTCAACTAGACTCTGCTAGAGAGACATATTGTTCTTTTTACTCATTTTATAGCTATTATTACTAGTTACTTTGCAGATTACAATTTTAAATTCAAAGCATATGATTAATTTATCTATAGGTTAAACTGCTGTTTATAAAGTAAAACATTGCTTACACATTAGACAATCAGCCATTGTGCTGCATAATGAAGGCTTTTACTTTTAATATTTTATGTACATTTACACATACTTTATGCTTTAAATGACATGTAACTTTTTCACAATTCTTTAACTTTTTGAACATAAATGAGGAACATGTTATAAAAACCTTGCGGTTAATCTTAGATACGAGAGTATCTGTTTATGTTAAATATTTGGGAACATAAGAGAGGACACTGCTGCGACCAAGCCCTCCGTAAGCAATCTTGCAACATGGAGGTATAGGTCAGGTCTCCCCTCTGACTCCTCAGAGGTTGAATTTGCTTTATGAATGCAACCTTCTCATCATGTGCCAAATACTATATTCACATTGCCTGCCAAGTATCACAGAGACTGATCCCCAGTGAGTGAGAGCACACGTCGACCAGTTAAGTGTGTTCCGCCAATGGCTGTGCCGTGGGGATTTTATGACTTTGAGTTAGAGATGCTTAAATTATTGTTAGCAAGAGTTGTAAAAGTGCCTGTATGAAAGGACAATCCTGTAAAAATCCTCCATCCTCCTAACACCAGACTGTTCAACAGGTCAATGTAGATTAAGTAAATTTAATCTGATCTTGAGTAGGTGTTATTGTGTCAGCCAGACATCCAGATCACAGCTGGATAAAACAGGAATTCACATGCAAAACTGCACTCTAACACTGTCACTCACTCACTCATAGATTAGGTCTGTTGAAAAGCAGACTGACATTATCAATAGATCACTTGCATCAGCGTTAACTGACTTGTTTTTTCAGTCACAGCGCATAAAGGAAAGCACGGATTGAAATCATTTATTGTTATATTTAAGTTATGTGACAAATGTTTGTGTGCTGTAAAACAAACTGTATGGGTGGTGTGGTGGTTACAGGCGGTTAACACTTTCCTTGATCTAGATCACTATCATGAACATTTAAAGCTGAATACCACAGCATTGCGTCTTCAGAAAGTTAGTCATATTTTGTTCCCAGACTCAGCACTACTGCTGTATAGGTGTTTCAACAAAAACAGGTGCTTGCAAGAAGAACACCCCTGGCAGAATCCAGACCATCATGTGAGGACTAACTGGAATAAATCTGGCATTTCAGGTTATAGTGACACAAACTCAATCTTCAGCACCTGCTTTGAGTGCGTCACATGAATTAAGAGTATCACAGTCCCGCTTACAAGACAAACTTGAAAATGACCTCATGCGGGACCACTGCAGTCTGGCTTGGTATGAACAATAGCGAGTCTGTGCTGGTCCATCCTACGTTTCTCTCCAGCATGTCTATGAGCATTGACCACAGCTTGAGTCACATCCTTCCCGGCTTTCCTGCTTGTTTACGGAGTGCTGGCGCTCAACTGCCTATGATATCACGAGCCCTGGGTTATTAGGAGTCGCACTGTTTGAAAAGACCTCCAGGACAGAGTGGAAAGAACCATCCAGGGTTTGCTATAACCACAAGCCTGATACAGGAAACCCCCTCCCCTGTCTCTCTCTGTGGAGTTTTCCTCTCTATTCAGCATTCCTCATTGGTCTGTGGGACAGGTGCCTGCAGATGACACTATGACAACTCACTGTGATGACTGCAGTGACATCACACATGAAATGACGCAAAGAGACGATGGAACAATTTTCTCTAAATAGACATTTAATGATTTAAAATAATGTGGTTACAGACAGGGGGGGGGGGGGTGTCAGGTGTTGGGGTGGAAAAGAGGGATTTTTTTTCTTTTTTTAACTGGTATTCTGTTTACCGTGCAACTTACACTGACTTTCCATGTTTTCTGCAAAGCTGAATGTCTATGGAGTCAAACTGACGAAAAAGCACAACAGCCATGCAGAAAGGCGTCGCTCTGACATGTATCAATGGCATCACATTCAGGTGATAATACAAAGCAAGAGAGAACTTTTTAATTTACAGTTATCAAACATATAACACTGAATTGAAGTTCATTAGCATGTAACAAATATATACAGATAATCAACAAATAGGAATTGTGGCAGAACAAAGCAGCTTCATAAAAAATATACTTATTAACCTGTGTGGAGGTGATTACAGTAACTTTAAGTGAGAATTGTAACATACTCTTAAACTTGACCCATTGTAATAGATTGTGTACATGTACATCTCTGCGCTGTATGGGTTGGATGTAAACAATACTCCTGCTCTCCTTGGCCTCGCTCACACTAAACAATAATATTCCTTTCTTTTTTTTTTTATTAAACCTTGCCTAACTGAAGGCTCCATCTAATATTTGCATTGATCAGAAATTAATATAACTTCAACAAATACAAAAAACTAAACAAAAAGTAGATACTGACTGACTGACACCTGCCATTGATAGCACATTAGCGGCTTGACTCCGCCCCCTCTGATTTCCACCTGCCTACTGCTGGCTGAAGAGCTGCCTACTGGGTCCGGAGCTGGTAATCTGAGGAGGAAATGGACAAGACTTAATCAAATGGACAAAGAAAAAAGGGAATCGGAGAGAAATCAAGTGGAGGCAGCTGATGCTGTCCACCCAGAATGAATGGAATATAAAGGAAATGAGATGAGGATGTTTGGCAATTAGTGGCAACATTAGCAAAAAGACCAACATGTGCAACCTTGGCAATCTCAGTATGAAGATCAGGGAAGCTTAACATAAGTTCACTTTCTCACATTTCGCAGGACGTTACCACATTGCCTCATGTTCTGCAGTGTATCCCCTTTTCGTAGAACTGCCTCAGTTCAAGGTTGGTTCCCACAACATTGCACTACATTGCCCAACTGTTGCCTAATAACTGCATATATGGGCACTCTGTAAAAGTATTTCTGAACTCTTAACCTACCTCCATTTTGGGTGATGTAGCGCACCCATGGCAGGGCTTGATATCCACTCTTCTCAATGATCTTCAGGTAACGCACCTGTCAAGGGAAAACAAAGCTGAATGACTGGTATGAACATAACTAATATAGAGAAATGACTTTGCACAGAGTCCCAGGGGACAGGAGCCCCTCTCAGGATGCACTGGGAGAGAGCCAGGATACACCCAGGACTGGCTGCCAGTCTATCACTGGGCTAACACACAGACAAACCAAAATATAAATACATTCTCACCTACTCTAACCTGCATGTCTTTGGACTGTGGAAAGTACTGAATTGAGAAGTGAAGTGCCCAAAGGAAACCCACGTAGACAGAAGGAGAAAATGCAAACAGTACCCATTAAAAAGGCCCCAGCCCACTTCCGCACTACATACTCAAAACCTGCAAATAATTTGTATGTAATGTGTTTAAACTACAAAAGTCAAAGTTAAAAAAGCATGACTCCATAAGGAAGTGAATAATTCAACAAAAACTTGATGTTTTTGTCTACTGTTGATGTACACTATTTTCTCACAAAGGAAGTGGCACTCACAGCTGCAAAAAATTGCAGTGATGGTGAGATAGCTCCAAAAATATCACAGCAACCAAAAAATATAGAAATATTTCAAAAACCATTTTGCTTTTGTTAGTTTGCAGTGTTGTAAAGCCACATTTTTAATGTACATCAGAGAGCATACATTGTATAATTTCCTGTCAGTATAAAAAGGTATTTCGATATGTTGAATGACAGTATACTGTAAAATGTTGCATGTAGCATGAAAGTGTATATAATTATTATGTACTGCAGAAAGCATTTGGCGTGAAGCAATTTTCTTCTGATCATAGCTAACTACAAAGAGTTCAGAGCCACCTTTAAACCCTATCCTTTGAGTATTCAATACTCAAAAGACAGATTTTTAGTTGAGTACTCTTTTAAGCTTTTAGCAAGCTGCAAGTTGTAGTGAGAGTGGTGTTGCTGATGAGGAAGCAGTAGTATGAGTCACACTGAGAAGGGGGAAGCTGATACAGAACAGCTTTCAAGGGAGACACAAATTGAATTTACATAACTGTAACATACTATTTTTTGAGGCCAGAAAGAAAAAAAAATGCACATCAGCATAATCAAGACAACTTTCACAAGCCATTAACCGATGTTTCACCAGACCAATGTTACAACAGAGCTGGTTTTCGAGAAAAACACTCTAAAAATACCCTGCCATCCTGACCATCGCTTAACACGATTGCACGTTTTTTTCCCCGTCAGGTGGGAAAAAACACTGTTAAAAGGCATGTCTCTTTAACAATCTGTCCATGTTAGTTAGATTTATAGTGACTTGTTTCTAAAAGATGAGCTATGTCTTCATTTATTTGAATTCATTTCTATCACAAGTCAACCACAATTACGAAAACTTACTTTTCTGTGGCGTGCCTTTTCAACTTGTGGTAGCAATAAGTATCTGTCACTATGAGGTACAAAAATAATTACAGACATTTCTTTCTTGCTTCTGTGTGCTTTTTCAGTAATAACCTTCACACAAACCTTTCTGTTACAAGAAAAAAAAAAAAAAAATCAGATCTGTGCTCTCACAATTAGCAGGGATGAGAGCTCGGCCGTTTTAAGGCTGACACGACCCCTCTCAGGGAGATGCCGCCGTGCCATGTCTCCATTATCCCGGTTCCCAGCCGAAAGCAGGACAGACAGGGCAGGAATTTGTGGGTCGTGTGGCGGCGGGCCTCTGGTAAGGCCTCGGTAGTGGCTGCCTTGTTATTACCTTCCACTACACAGTGAGGTCAGAGAGCGAGAGAGCGAGAGAGCGAGAACGCTGTGGCCGCCAGACACATGACGACAAACACATAGACACAGGATCACCAAGTCTGCCGGCACAGCAATTCTCCCTGAACCCAGCAGCCAAACATGTAGTCGGCTTGACCGTGGGTACGCAGTCAGCAAAACTGCATCAAAAGCCATCCTCCGCAAAATATCATTATGGCTTGTAAGATGAGAAGGGGAAAGAAGGATGTTTGTTGTATCTCGTTTGGTAAGTACAGACTACATGTGTGGTCTGGACTTATCAGGCTTTTGGTAGAAGCTTTGGCCCGAAAAGTATCTACCAACTTGTTTGGGTCCCTCAGCATCACCTAAAGATGGGAGATTTGAAAACCTAACTACAGTTCTGCTCGTTCTGCCACTCGGCCAAAGTGTGGGATTACTCCATTCCTAGTTAAATTTATAAGGTGCAGTTACTTGCATCATACACACTTCACATGTGCTCTTCCCTACACTTAGTGGCAGAGTTAAGAGGAACTTTCTCATGCTTTGATATTTACATGCGTCTAATTAAACTTCATAGCCTCTTCTCACACGTACAGAGTTGTGTTACTGGCTGCATTAGAGCCTGAGACCCAGTCTGCTGTTACCCTGTAATAAGGAAAGGTTACTGCCCTGACAAGAGTTCGATGGGAATATAACTCTTAATAAGTCGCCTTTGAGATGGTGGCTGCAACGCAGTGTGATTAGAAGAGTTTTGAAGCTTTTGGCTTGACAGAACAGTGGAGGCCTACAGCAACTTGGGAACTAGTGAACTGCTAGAACTTAAGAAGCTGAATCTGATATTTTAGGTTGATACTAAGTACTGAGCACATTTTCAGATGTCAAATCTTTTGGAAATATCTCTAGCACTCAGCTGAGGTATGTTAGACAAGAAAAAAACAACAACAAATAGATAAAAGAAAAGTCCCCAGAGTGCAACTTCCTGGAAGGCAGTTACTAATTTATTGGAATTAGTAATTAGTTATTGACATTTGACCCGTTTATGATGAGTTTCATATGTTTAGTCATTAGCTGTAATGTTTAGCCGTTTAGCTAGATGGCCTGATGAACAGAATTATGCAAATGAATATGTTTTAAAAACTGTCCCAGCCAATCAGTAGAGAGGTCCATTAATAGTAAAGCTAGTATTGCCAAGAACCGCTTACAAAAATTTAATATTGTCTTGGAATATAAAGTTCGGAAAAAACTGACATTGTTCCATTGTAAACGTATTGATACATTATAGCATTTCTTTTACATCTTTTTAATGGTCAAGAAAAGCACAATGGTGTTTGTAGACACTGACCACTGCACCGAAGTGTGTGTTCAAACTGAATAGGAATAGGAAATGTGTCAGCAATGGTTTATAGAAAACCACAAAAAGAGGATCCATCAACCAAATAACTGGGCAAGATTTCACTGTATATTATATTACTTTTAGTTGTTGCTTTAGTTCATTCTTGGTGTATCCTTGGTGATGGTGTATATTTTACAAGCATGGACCAGGTAAAGCAACAGTGAACACACCACATCAGTGCAGATTTGTTCGTTTCAATAGGCTACGTCATTAACAAGTCTACTCCACTTGCGCCGCACCTGCTGCTGTGAAAACGAAATCACAGGTGGACAAAGAGTCCAGAGTTATGGGTCTTTTTGGCAACTTTACAAAAAAACACTACTGATGGAGAAAGTCAACAGAGCAGACACATACAAAGAGAGAGAAATATAGAGGAGAGGCAAGGCGGTGTGTTTGCAGTCAGAGGTGTAGGTGTGATCATTTGGGGAAAAGACAAACTGAAGGGAAAAGGAGCAGATTCAAGTAGTGAGCAAACACTAAAACAAGGTGGAGAATGAAGCAGAATTAAAATCGTGAAATAAGAAATAACCTGCTAGAAATTGAAAGATTTCTGCTAAACTGTGTTAAAAGAGAAGGTTTTCTGGCCAAATGAACTGATCTAAAAATAGTAGACAGGGACTATAAAAGGAGTTAAAAAAAACAACTAAATTTTAGAAACAAGATTAAAAGTTGAAGCCATTTGGGGATTTTAGCTTTTACCGTAATGTATGACAAGGCTTTATCACATGCAAAGCAACTCCGTACCTGCCTTTGTCGCTGCACTATGACTTAATGCACTTGCTTTTATTCAAGCATCTGTTCATTTATGGATTGGCAAAGATTTGAAAAGGAAGGAAGGAAAAGGAGATTACTTATTTCAGATTGCCAATTACCTTGGAAAATGGCAAGCATTCTTACACTGCCAACACCGCCCCAATTGAAAGTACAACATATCTCAATTAATTTGGGTTTGAGCTTATTGTTTCCGAGTGGGCTGCATAATGTCCATACAACCTAATAATGTTTTATTGACTATCACAGGAAATGTGGAGAAGCTGGAAAATATGATCTTGTAGCTCTTTTTTATGAGCTATACAGAAAGCTGTATTAAAAGTTAAGAAGTAAATAAAAGCGTATTAGAAGAAGAGAATAAAGTTGATCAAAGAGCTACTGTAAGGGTGGATGGTAAATACAACAGATGTTATTAAAGTAAGTTTTGAAATACTTTATATACAATTTGACTGTTTATACTGTAATACGAATTCATAAATGCTCAATAACCAAGCTTTGCTGCTCTAGGAATCTACTGCCTGTACTTCCTGTATTTTTTAAACAAACACACTTACAAACCGCTGTAATTATGTAACAGTAATTGGGTAATATCATTTCATAATCTACACAAAGTTTGGTTTTAGGAATCAACGATTATTTACGATTACAAAGATGTACGTAGCTGCTTCTTAAGCACATTTTGTAATTACAGTGTGATTACAGTTCACCGCATACTCATAGGAACTGACTATGTGGTGGAGAGGTTGGCCATATCTACATATGTGCTAACTGAGAATCATTAACGCTTTCAAAATGAAATACGTGACGTTTAAAATCTAGAGAGAATGAGTAAAAAACACAAAGATCTTTTTCCTGTGGTTTTTATTATTACTCTTCTCTGTGTGTAACCGAGGTGTAGTTATTAAATGGACCTATGGAAAACGCTCTTTTTTTCTTTCTCGAAGCAATAATATGATTTTTTCTAATGGAGTTTGCCATGCTGCCATTTTTTCCCCTCACATAAAGACATGGGAAAACTTAATTTTGTGTCACTGTGGTGCTACACGTATAATCACAGGACAGCTGTGATTATATAGTAAGTGTAGCACATCTGTGTACGTCTGTGGTCAGGAAGAGTTTTCATTCAGACATGAAGGAAAAACATTATCTTCTCTCTCAATTTCACAATCAAAATCCAATGAATCTACTCACCTGTAACTAAGACCGACATTTTAGATCACTGTGATTAACATAAAGGCAGAGGGTCATGTCCGAGATGATGAGCAGTTGCTCTCTGGTTTGTTCAACAGTAAAAATTTTCTCCACCACAAAAAGGAGTCACACAGTTTAAAAGTGCTCCATTACTGCCCCCTCTGGCAAAAAACAGGACAAAAACAACTTACATTCCTGCTCTGAAGACAGAGTATGAGACACTGCTATGTGCCATAAATTTTAAATCCAGGATGATGGGGAAACAACATAGAACCACAAGATATTTGGACTATGCAGTCATGTGCGCTGGAAGATCATCAATCTGCTCCTATTTGGTTTAGTAAAGGAATAATAAAAAACACAATTCGACCAACTATAAACAGAACAGACGTTTTCCTGTGATACAATGTCCTTAATTTTACCTCCATGTGCTGCTGCAAGAAGGTTAAACAAATTACTTGGAGTTATTTTCTGTTCGACAGAGGTCATGTGTGCATATCTGCCGGATGTACCTGGATGCCGGAGGTGGTGAAGTATGGGATCTCAAACTTGACACTGATTGGCGGCTTCCCCTCCTTGTCTTCAGCCTCTACACTGGGCAAACCGAAGTGGGCCCGCATCAAATACTCCTTCCCACCCTGTGACAGTTATAACACAAAGTCTATAATACAAAACTAAAACTCTGGAAACCTCATGTGTTAAACCCTAAAGAGAGTCCCCTTACAAGTTTTTATAAACATTAACAGCAGGACAAATGCAGAAACTTACACATGAAAAAAAAGGTGAAAAACACAAGCAAAGTGCAGCCGTAAAACAAAAAAAATCCCAAACACAAGATTACACAATAATTTTTAACCATCTGCATGATACTCATGAGTCATGATTTCTGCTCACAGGGAAGGACTTGATTGACCAGACAATCTCGCTGTTCTCAGGCACCCACTTCACACTGCCCACTGTGGTCTTAAATTTGGGTGAGTCGGCGTCCGTTGGCACAGGAATGTGGATCTCCACGTTGTTGGCTGTGGAACGCCTTTTGAACTGACTCTTTGCCTGAAACAAGTATCAAGCAAGTTAAACGTGAAGTCCAGCCTAAACAGGGTATTCAACCAGTGCTTAATGATAGCTTTATATATAGTATAAAATAGGTTGTGTCACGCATGAAAACACGAGACACAAAGTGCCTGAAAATCATTACAAGATATTGGTACTCTGATGTGAGGGAACATACCTTGAGCTCGTCTGAACTGCATTACAGCCAAAACATGTTTGTTTACTTTGTCTTCTATGAATAACTATGGGGCTGACAACAAAGGCAGTGCTGCAATAAATTACATAGCAACTTATGTACCAACTGAAAAAGTGACTTACCTTGATCATGTACTCGATCCGACTGTGGGAGTGCTTCTCAATAACAGATTCAATCCAGATCAAGGGCTTCACCTAGGGTATAAACAACACACATATTTTACCCACAATCAAATAGATTTTAAACAGGTACCAGAAATGATCAGCCTAGCAGCTCTGCATGGAGTCCTGCATTTATAGGAGACGTAACACATTAAGACGTTAGGGTGCATCGGAAAGTGTAGTGTACTGTTAATGTGACTGACTAATCTTAATAGTAGTTGACAGGGAACGACCAGTTATCTACAGCTAGGCCATCCTCCAATGTATGGACAGAAGGGCAAAACCATTTACATTTACCTTAGAAGCAGATCTCTTTCTCTACGCAAACAATTACACAATCAAAATGTGAAAGTCTGCGGCATTCGTACACTTTCTGATGTACAGCCAAATTTAACGTGCTACTGTGTTACATCATCATCTGTAACTGCAAGACCCGAGCAGATTTGCCAGGCTGAGAAGGCTCTGGCTCCATTACATTTAACATACTGTGAATGTCAGTTTGAATAACATATGACAAAGTCACCACCCAGTGGACACCAGATATTACTACACCAAGAACCAACATCAAGTGTTTAAAAATGGCAGAGAAAGAGATACTCAAATTTACTTTGTGTGTTCTCAGTGTTGTTCTATTTAGGGAAAATACAAACTGTCCTAATCAGAGTACATTAACTAGAAACACTTCTGCTCCACTGTACCACTTCCCCTCTCACAAGCTTACTGGCAACCCTATTGTGAAACATTCAGAATTTCATGCCAGTTTAAACTTTGTTAAACTCAAGTGCTTGTCTATAATCTTCTGCATTAATTATATATTTTTCTACTAAATTTCATGACTCTGCATTTGTTATTTGAAATGCTCACTGGTTGATGATGAAGCAACTTGGGCCTTATTTAAGCAACGGCTGGTTTGGCCAAGGCCCCATCTCTTGCGTGTTTTTTTCCAGGTTAGGAGTTTGTTCATAAATATTTACTTAGCGTACTGACTGTGCCTTCCAGCAACGTTTTTGTAAACACGTTGCTCTTATAAGCCTTCGAAAAAAAAGTGCATTCTCTAGGATTTACAGATTTGTAATATTAACCAGAAACCAGATAGAAAACTGGCTGTCAGGAGTACAGGGAGTTATTCTGATGGGCTTCACATATTGGGCCATTGAAGAGAAAAACAACATGGAACATGTAATACCACATATCCACAGGTCATTATCATAATTATATATA